GACGGGGATCATCACTGAGCTTGACACGTCCACGTTGAAATTCAGCAAACCAGCGATAAATTGTGGTTTTGGATGGGGCTTCATCACCAAATGCAGAAATCATCCGGTCAACACACTGTTTTTGTGATAAACCACTTCGAAAGTCATAATAAATCATCGCTCTTGAATTTTCTCGAGTCAATTCCATTTTCTCAACGACTAAACAAGTTTGACAAAACTTTGTGAAAAGAACGAGAATCTTTTTTAAAAAAATAAATGGTATTCGATTTTTAAAAAAAGGAGATTTCAATTAAAAAGATTTAAATATGACAGGAATAGTGGTATTATTCCATTCCCGATACGTTTAGTGCAGCCCTCGTATTGAGCAAAGTACTTCAGTTTTATAGAAATAAAACTGAGGTACTTTGTCAACAGTCTCCGCAGCATATAGGAATCTTTATTGGTCTTCTATGATACTGTTAAGGTGTCTTACAGCCTATGTTCATCACGATTTAAATGGTGAAAGAATCAGTCCATCATATTAGTGCGAGCGAGTTTTTGGAGATGTACTCCAAAAGTACCAAAAACAATAGCTCCGATTACAAATCCCATTCTTCAGGACCTGGTAGCTGAAAGTACGCATCGTTTGACACGAACACACTCATGACTGAGCGTCGTGGTCAGCAAGGAAGCATCTGGAGCGAACCAATCCAACCGGCTTCTGTCCAGCGCCTCTTCTCCGTCGGTCCATCTGGGAAAAAGCCACGTGATGTTGCCTTCCGTTACGAACTACGGTCAGTTTCTCCAACTCATCGTCGCCTCTGCGCATTGTATGGCCGTATTTTTACTAATTAAAACTGTCTTTTAGGGTTTTCAGTGCATTGTTTCAAAATATCAACTCCATAAGGTTTCCTCACGATGTATTCCTTCGTTATTAAACCTAAAAACACTCATTTGAAGCCCACTGAAATATTTCCGATTAAATGCGACTTAGGTACCTTCAAAGAGCGTACCTACCTGTAACTAAAAGGCCGTCTCGCTAAAAATAATTAAAATATTTCCCAGCTAAGACTAAAAACTAATGATTTTATTTTACGCGTTTGATGAATTTTTGGTAACAAAAGTCAATATATTTCAGTCAATTTACATAAAACCATAATTAATTATATATTAAAACCTTCCGCATATAAAACGCTATCTATTAGTGTACACTGTATAAGAATCCGATCAATAGTTCTTGAGTTTTTTGCCTTTATATTGATCGACTTTATTTTATATGTAACGATCTTAATATAAACATTTAGATCTTAATATAGATTTTGCTGTTTAAGATAATAGTTATATTACAGTAAATTTACATAATAATATAATTTATTATATATTTAAACCGTCCATATAAAACACACTCTCAGTTGGTAAAAACTGTATAAAAATCCGTTGTTTAGTTTTTTAATTTATCGCGTTCAAATTTATTTTATAAAAGGATCTTAATATAGACATTTTGCTTTTCAATAATCGTTATATTCTAAACAATTTACATAAAACCATAATTAATTATATATTAAAACCTTCCTCATAAAACACGCTATCTATTAGTGTACACTGTATTAAAATACGTTCAGTAGTTTTTGAGTTTATCACGTTCGTACAGACGCAGCGGATTTCACGTAAGAAAAGAAATTTCTCAAAGGCTTAAAGTTCATTAATTGCTGTCTTATATCATATATCTAATATATAAAATTCTCGTGTCGCGGTGTTTGTAGTTAAACTTCTCCGAAACGGCTTGACCGATTCTCATGAAAGTTTGTGTGCATATTGGATATGTCTGAGAATCGGACAACATCTACAATTCATCCCCCTAAATGTTTTTAATTTTTAGATTTTTTTTTTATGATGCAGCATTAAAAAATAAATACAAATACTAATTTTCACCCCTCTACGATCAACCCCTATTTTATTTTATAAATGATATACATGGCAAAACGACGTTTGCCAGGTCAGCTAGTCTTTATATATAATTGAACCATAAACAAAGTATAGAACAACAAATTACACTAATAGACTACATAGATAATATTACATCCAGGTACTGCTGCCTCTTATTTATGTGATATTTTGATGTGTATTACACGTGTGTATACACACATACTGTATTTTTATAAATACAACAAAGCGTAGTTAAAGAGAATTGCCTATTAAAAAGCAACATTTTATGAATTTCCACGTGTAATGTATAATTGTTTACTGTCGTAAATAAAAACGAAAAATATGTTTGTAAGAACAATGTCGTAAATTTTTATGAAATTATATCTCCAGTAATATGTTTTTAAATTAAATACACAAGTATTTAGTCGCCTCATCCTCGTTCATTTTAATGCTTTATCGTAAACATACAATTCAACACCAATTTAATCTAGTTTTTTACTAAAACAACCTTGTTTTGCACATCTTACGCCACCTATTGTCGAGTAGCGAAACAGCTATTAGTATATTATAAGTTTAAAAATCTGAAATCGCGCCCTCTATTGTTGAGAGACTTAACTACGCAATAACAGCATTGTGAAAAATATTATATTGCAAGTTATATTTTCCTGTGTGATAGCGCGCAACATATAACTTTTTTTTAAAGGTATTATGTTTGATTATTATTAGTTGTATTAAATAGTAAATGCAAAATATCGTTCCCGGTAAATGATGTTTACTTTAATTTCTTAAAATAATATAAGAATAGGGGTAGGCAGTTTGAGGCAATTTATTTCCCGATAATTATTTTGGAAATGTAATTCTTATACAAACTGTCGGCTTCCTTAATAAAAATATTTTACACTAAGAATATTTCAGTAATAACAAGAAACTAAACGAAACAGTGGAAATAAAGATAATTATAGTTTGTTAATTTTTCTTTAAACACAATATAGACGGCGCTTTGATTCTGTAAAACCTTCATATTTATTTAATCATACGTCTATTTAGTAAAGAAATTAGATAATATATTAAACAGACTACAGAGAATTTAGATATTTATATAATTGGCCATTTCTCTGCTCATTTTTTTAAAATAAAACCTGTTTTAACTTCATATATTTCTTTCGATTTAGTTCCAATTCGCAACGGTAGATGGCGCTAAAAGCAATGTTGATTTAATCGCGAAGTTAACGAAGCCTGTTTAATTTATGATCATATAAACTAGAGGGCGCGACAATACATACGCAGTATAAAAAAATTGCGTTTGAACCATTGCCAGCTTGATCATTTTTATTTATACTCGTAAACAAGATGACTTCACAGTTCTGTGTCTAAGTTGTCTAACTAAGCTAAACTAAACTATTGGAACGGGTTTTCTCGTATAGAAATCATTATTTTGGTTTAATTAAACACGACTATGAAAAACACAACGCCGTGACCATGCAACTTGTCGATAAAACAGAGCAAGCGCCAACTAGCGGCCCAGACTGTTTTACCGACGTTTGAAGAGATCTTCAGGGTGTCAGCTTTTTGTGACGGAGTACGCGCGCATCGTAAAATTTTACCGTCATAATTTTTCCCTAACGCGTCAACAGAAGTATAACTTCAAATATAAATTTTTAATAGTCGTCACTCAAAATTAAAAAAAAAGGTGGCAACATACAATGTCACGGTAAGTCACGTGACCAGGCATTTCAAAATTTCTTTAGTCTAAGTGATTTAAGTAATGAAACAATTTTATTAATAATATTTTATTTTGTCTAAAATAATTATCACTTAAAATAATAAAATGCACAGATTAACTGATTACATTTAATACTTTTAAATATATTCAAAATGCTATATTTATATATTGACATTTTAACCGACTTCAAAAGGTGATAGTTTGATTCCAACTTAAATTTATTATAGTATTACGGAAGCACTATTTTACACATATTACTCACACATTGTCTATACTTGAAAATGGGGGGGGGGGGGGGTTATAAATTGAAAAACAGATAAATATTAAAAGAATTTCTTGGAGGTTTTTTCAGAGTCGGTTAAATATAGTTGTTGTCATGTGGAATAATTAAAAAATGGAAAATAATATTTTTAATTTCGTAAAACTTTTAAAAAGTTGTTTCGAATTTTAAAAAATGGAAAATCATTTTTAAAAATACATCTTTTTAAATTGAATAATTAAAAAATCTTTTGAAATTATAGCATTATGAACATGACGTTTTTGTCTTAATATATGATATAGGAACTTATTTGTTAATTAAGTTTTATTACATAAACGTCATAGCAATATTGCTTCAATGTGGGCATCCATGGGGCATAAAATGCGTTCAACATTTATAAACGCAAACTAAAACTTACTGTAAGACTGTCTTTAAAATGTCCCATATTGGGGTTTTAGAGAATTATTTTTTCTGTGCCCAGGTGTGATATAGGACAGTTCTAAACTTTTTAGAAGCGAATCATAAAACATTGATTTCCATAATTTGTCCCAAAATGGGGTTTGGGACAAAAATGGTAAATGTCCCCAAGTATGCATATGCGTCGAAAAAAGTGAAATCCCAAACTATTTGAACGCATAAAATAGCGTCTTCTAAAAATGTCCCAAGATGGGTATGGGGCACACTTCGCAAACCTTATTTTATATTACTATGACATTTACGAGAAATCTCTAAATAATAATAATCATTCAAACATCGAAATCCCCAAAAATAATTGAGATCAAGCGACCTCATTTGGGGCATGGGGCAAACAAATTTCATACATAATGTAACTAATAAGTACCTTTCTCAAATCACTGGATTGTCACATTACAGTGTAACTTTTACACTAAAATTTAGAAACAAGATGATCAGTTTAAATATTCAGCCACTTAAAACTATGGGGTATGGGACAAAGTTACTCGATAAACCAGATTTAAACTTCGAGTTGGGCATGGGCCATAAAATCACATCTAAGACCACATTTAGAATTATCTTAGAATCAGTAACTAAGTACAAAGTTAAGTAGAAATTCGCAGAAATTTTCATTTTACCATTAACACGTTACACTTAACACTAACCAAATAAGTTCTTAAGATCCTGCTCATATAGGGCAATCACCAGCATAATCCCGATACCAGAAGCCAAGCCCATGAGCTGCAGGAGGCACTGACAGAAGGTGCCTTCCTTGCTGTGCGATGTGCTCAGTTCTGGCATCTAAAAAAAAATTATAACGTAAATGCTCGACCGATTTATATGAAATTTTTATCCTACCACAAAATTATGATATGACCCTATTCGGGACAACATCGCGAGAAGACAGATCAGGCACAGAAGGCCGATCACAAAAGGATTTAAGAAACTGATACTTATGGTCCAGCGCCGTTTCACCGGACGGATTTTTATACAGTCAACACAAAACAGTAGAAGAAGATTCATGCAATCGGTTCCAGACAATGAATGAAGTGAAATAAAGAAACGATTCATAAATACTCCTGATTTTTAATTCCGTATTTCTGACAGCTATCATTTTTTGACATGTCAGAGATTACAAACCTTTTTGGTCGGGCACATTCAATTTCAATACGAGTCTGAACATCTGAGTCTATACATACATATTATTTGTTAGTTAAAGTATATATTTTATTAAGTGCTAATTGATAATTACGTCCCTTTTTTATCACAAACAGTAAAAAACGCACAAGTAAAGATAACGTTTTATTTTTTTAAAGGTTTACTAAACCTGGAATTAGTAGGCAGTGATGCCAGTTAAAGAATAAAATAAAGTCATTAAAGTTAATTCGATATATTGTTCGTGATACTTAAATATTTGTTATTTGAGCAAGTATATATTTAGATTTACCTTTTTGTAGGTAAAACATAAAAAATACATTTTATTTTTTATTGCCCTCAAATGGGTCAAATTTGTCCCTTATTCACTTGAGAACTTTGTTAGTAGCAACACTTATGAAATGTCAGAATTCTACGGAATGAAAAATCAGAGTTTAAAGATTACGATTATGAATAACAAACTGAAAATGAAAACTTACCATATCAACCAGGGCTATGTAGAGGAAAGTACCGGCTGCGACCGCGAAGAGCCATCTTGTGGCGGATGGAGCGTGTCCAGCCAGAACACCACAGACCATCCCGGCAAGGCATAGGGCAGAGGACAGTATGTTGTAACACACGGCTCTCTTTACCGACATACCCGCTTTTAAGAGTACCGCAAAGTCACCTGAAAGAGGGTAGATGTAAAATAAGAACAAAAATCAAAATAGTTTCGGGGGTAGGTGAAAAAATAATCAGAAAAGGGTAGAACAAAAACTTAACTAATTAACCTTAAACAAAAGCAATGCATATTAGCAGACGACTGTATGTTGTAGGTTCGTGTCCGCTTTTTAATGTCGAATAAAAGAGGGTAGATGTAAAATTTTAAAATTATAAACTTCTAGACCAGATAACAAATCACAAATTTCGGTACAGGCTTTTAAATACTAGTCTATATTAGCGAAGCAAAGGGCCAAGGGAAGTTATAACACACCGTTTTCTTTACTTCACTACAGTAGCGAATTCACCTAAAGAGGGTAGATAAATGACGTCACTACGTCTTTTTAAGTGAACCACGTATAGAATTTCTATCGAAGTTTTTTTGTTTGTTTTACTCAAATATTAGAAGCCGGTAGATACATTTTAAAAAGTCAGTATAAGAGGGTAGACGTAAAATATTCATAATTATTTCTTAACGTAAAAAAATAAAATACCGCCCTATATTTGAACAAAAATTAAAAAAAAAATCTAACTCACCCAATTCGTGAGGTAATTCGTGGCATAATACTGCTATGGCGGTTGAGAATCCACCGGCTAAGTTGGAAGCAAATGCTGCGCCTGAAATATATAAATAAAACATTATTTATGAGGAAATACCGTCGCGGAATTACGTCGCCAAATTTCGTTTAAAATTTTTTAATTTTTCTTAATTAATGATAAATTTTCTTAAAAATCGCACCCAAACTTGAATACATTTTCATGAAAATTCGCAAAGGGGCGAGTCGGTAGGGAATATAAAACTAACTGTGCCATGCGCACAGGTATTCTTCAGTCTATGAAGTGTTAGCAAAGAGAAGTAGTAGTAGTAAAAATAGTGAAAAAAATAAAATAAAGAAATCAGTGGCGCTACAACCATTTTAGGTCTAGGCCTCAGATTTCTGTGTCTGTTTCATGATTTGTCAATCGCATAGGCAAGTGGGTGATCAGCCTCCTGTGCCTGACACGCCGTCAACATTGTGTGTCCAAGGCAAGGCAATTAAATCAATCAGTCATGTATTTTTTGTTAAAAGAATATATTATTTGTAGCTAAGCGCTAAACTGAAGACTGGACCAATTCCAGTAATTTATTTATATTCCTTGAACTTTGAGGAAGGTTTTTACGGAGACAAATTGGAAAAAATTCACGGAAAACCAGTTTTTATTCGGGAAAAGCAGTCCCTAAGGGGTAACATCAAAATCACATTAAGGCAAAGCAAACATTCGCGGGGGCAGCTAGCATAAAATAATAATTAAATTAATACAAATAATTTTGCTTAAAATTAACATTTGATTTCAATAAATATATTACATAGTTTTAAAATAATTAACCCCAAGAGTTATTAAGAAATGACGTCACAAGAAATTTTGATGAAATTCTACTGAAATCAAAATCACTTAATGACGTATACAAGATCATATATTATAGAGATTAAACTTAAAAGCTACTCAGGAGGTTAAAAAATCATATTAAGGCAAAGCTATCATTCGCGAGGGCAGCTAGCATAAAATAAAATTAATACAAATCATTTTGCTTAAAATTAACATTTACTGAAATCAAAATTACTTCAACAGTTAGTTACTTACCAATTGCCATTCCATCCGTAAAATTGTGTAATCCATCCCCCATTATCACCATCCATGCCACCGAAGACATAGATGAAGGCGGAGCATGGACATGCCCATGGGCATGGGAATGACCATGATGGGCTCGGGAGTGTTCTCTAAAATATTCAATAAAGGAGTCAGTAATGTAAGTTTAAACTCTCGAGGTCGTGATTATTGTATTTAAATTTGCGCTTTAAAATTAATTTAAATCAAAAATAATCATTTGGAAATGACTTTTAAGTTGATGGACACATACATACAAACAGCATACATGCTTTGAAATCTAAATGTATCATAAAATTTTACAATTTTTTTAAGTAGGTTAAAAATTTTAATTTCAAAACCACATGAATTACTAATAGACCTAAGGGTCTATATGGCATACTAATTTTGTCTTTGTATGTAATGTAAACCAAATTTTTTCGTCCATACAAAATATTTTAACAAAAATCACGTTAATCTTTCTAATAATTCAAATTCACCTATTATGAGGTTATCTTTAATATTTTTCGTACATAGAAAATACGACTCACCTCAAAATCACCGTATAACTATCACCATCCTTCAAATTCGTCCCTTCCTTAACATTATTCAACTCCACCCCCGTTTCGCCCTTCAACAGCCAATCCTTCGCATTCGGCTCTTCCTTGTCACTCTTATCATTCAACGCATTCGACGACACAACACTGACACTATTCTTCTCCTTCTCTTTCTCCTTAGGACTTGGCAAATCTCTCAAATGGTGCTCGTCGTGTGTGTCTGTATCGATTTCATCGTAACAGTATGGGTATTCTGAATATTTGTGTTTACACATTTTCGTGTCTTCCTCTTTGAAAATCGGGTCATCCTTCAATACTCTAACCCGTGTAGGTAACTTGTCTTCCTCCAACTTCTGGCGCCTCTTCCGCCATTCCACAACCACGGTCAATCCCTTCTCCATGAAATAGAAGAACACAACACCAAACATCGCTGCTAGACCCTTCCACATACCGTCATCGTGACCCTGGTCATGGCCTGACATGGCATGTGGCATGAGGTGCAACAGCGCATCACCGCATAGAGTGCCCACAGCCAATGCTACCAGAAACTGTAGCAAGTGGTTATAGTATGTCTTGTGCATTATTGGTATAACGGCCACGCCTAAGAGACCGCATGCGCTGATGGCTGTGATACTTAAACATGAGTAGAGCCACACGGCGAACATATTTTTCGAGTATGCGCTCTCGTGAATTTCTATGTGTGTTTGAAAGTTTGTGTCTGAAACACAACCGCCTCTTTCTAGTGAGGTGTTTGCGAGTTTTTGGTATAATAAAATAGGGCATATGGCCACTAGAGTATCTTTTGTTATATTAATATCATGGTCGTGATTCTCATGGTCGTGGTCATGATTGTGTTCATGATTGTTGTTTTTTAATTTGGTATTCACTGTTGTGATTAATTCGGAACTGCTGATGCACTGAAATTAAAAATATATATATAAAAATTTTATGCTATCAGTACATCCTATAAAAGTTAATGAAATCCGGACCCAGGGTTTTCATAGAGAGGACAGATTTCATTGTTTGAATAGGCTCTCAAACTACAGGATTTGATTTGTTGTGTTGTGTTTCACGATTAGAATCCTAAATCCCTGAAGAACATAGGCTATACATTACAATAGTGTTAAGGTGTGAAGACCAATAAAGACTACTAAATGCTGCGGATACTATTGACAGTAGAGCATTGTACTACAGTTTTATAGAAGACGTCAATATCTACATAATATGTCTAACAAAACATTCTTGCATTTAAAAGTATATTAACCGAAAGCTTTAGGCTATAGAACATCGTGCTACCGAATTAATTCGCACACCGCAGAGCACAGCTAGTATTATATAATGGGAGTCACCATAATATATCTACGATAGGCTCTGGTACGATATTTTCCGGGTGTGAATAACTTTATTCATATAGGTAACCAAGGTAATTGATTCTAAATTTACATTCGCAGGTCAAGGGCGCAGAGCGGGCAAGAAGAACTGGCGAAAAACTATCCGCCACTTTTTTTAATCGCCAAGTTTTGAGTCACACAAATTGTTTAAACTGGAGCAAAGCAATTCCAAGGATCATTTAAATAAAAAGCTTTATTGATTAAGGTCCAAGGATTGAAGATCCAATCGCCCAGATATTCATATAATATGTCCAAATACTTACATTAACAACATCGTCATTTGCCCCCCGCTGGTCATACATATAATTCTTACTCTCTATTTTCTCTACACTTCCATTTATTAATTTCTCCAACTCTAAACCACTTAACATTCTATGAAAACCATTAAGGTCCATCGTCATAGAATTGGGATCGCCATATAATCTGGAAAATTAAACCAATAATCTTAAATTTCACCCAATTTCGTATTACGTAGTACGGGTACTCTATTGCACCTACTTTTAATAATCAAAGAAACAGGGTTTGTACGGCTCGCATTTGAATTCAATTTCACTTTATATAAGCTCATTTTAATTAGATTTCAACTCATATAAGCAAATTTTAATTCAATTTCACCTCATATGAGATAATTTGAATTCAATTTTATATGAGGTCGAAAATCGGAACTCACCTAAAAATTTGTTCAATATAATTTCCCATAACATCTCGCTTATGTCTCGACCTCTCCTGACGCTTGTCTCTTAGGTCCAGTGCATTATCGATGCTCTTCGGCTCATAGCCAGCTACGTCGACGTCCACGTGAGAACCACAAGTGTGCGCTGCGCAGAGCAGGCAAAACATACACACGGTTACTATGTTACGCGCCATCTCATAGCTCAGTACTGTAAACAAAAATAATCATATTATATCGCTGCCTCAGGGCAATATGAAGTATTATTATCACTCTGTTGGCGCTGGCCCGATGAGTCGCACGCTGAAGCCACTAGGCCAACACTGCCCAACAAAATGATCGGTATATTTTAAATTTCTTTTAATATTAAAAAAGTCTTCCTCAACATCGAACAATACCTGTCCTTCCACCTGCCAATCTCATTGTCTTTTGACGCGTAACGAATCGTTTTGTTACGCGTCGTTAAATATGTGACTTGAATAACAAACTAGCTCCAATACTTTCTAGGTTTGATTATTATCTTAATATATATAAATTACGCGTCACGTTGTTTGTATGGACTCCTAAACTACTTAACCGATTTCAATCAAATTTGCACACCGTGTGCAGTTAGTTCTAAGTTAAAAGATAGAATAGCTTACATATATATATAATGCTACTGTACGTGAGTATGTCACTGTACTCCTCTTAAACGGCTGGACCGATTGGAATGTTTTTTTTGTATGCGTTTGGGTGAAGCCCTGGATGGTTTAGATTAACAAATCAGCCCGGCAGATGGCGCTTCAGCTTGAAATATCACACAGGACAACGTCTGTGGGGTCCGCTAGTAGATTATATAAAAATCCATAATCTCAATTTAAAACGCGCTATCAAAGTATTTCCCGCTAGGCATATATACATCTCGATATCGCAGTCAGTGATTAAAGCGTTCTAAGATCCTCTCTTTAGGTAAGAGGAAGAGCAGCACCTTCCCGCCTCCCTAGGTCGCTACAATCATGACGTCACACTTGAAAACGCACTATCAAAGTATGTCCCGTAACAGTGGTCCTTTATAGAACCGGGGCCTCAGTTCGACATATTTCATAGAACAGGGGGCAAACAGTCCGGAGGCTCACCTGATAAGTGATACATGGACACTCAATGCCCAGAGCACTCGCGAGTGCATTGCCGGATCGGTAATTTTTTTTAATTCCGGAAGAGCGAACTGTCTCTATGGGGTAGCGTCATTTTTTATTCTTAGGGAGTTTAAAGTATTACGTCACGCAATTTTTGGAGATTATAACCCTCCCCCCATGTAACGCGCCGTAACGTTTTTCTGTACCCAAGTATAGTAAAACGTTTCGTGACCACCTAGTGACTTTTTATACAAAGGTGTAAAGTACTGGAAAGTCAAAAAAAATATTAACAATAATGCGTTATTCAATCCCAGCCCCGTATCGTAACGTTTTACAAAAGGACCTCCCCCCCCTCCCCCCTCCCAAATTCGTTACGTAATACATGAACGCTCCCTTAGACTCTTATGTCATTTAACTGGTATAATCATGAAGTAAGGACTTATTTATCTTATTATTAATTAAGTCAAGTAAATAACTATGGACAAACACACAATAATATTTTAACTGACGAAATGAATTTTTTTTTTCGTTTCCTCTAATTTTTGGTTCTCTGGACATACGAGGTTATCATTCTCCAGCGACGATAGCAAAAAATGTTGGTATGTACTAAAAAGGTAGGCTAAGTCAATAAATATATAACACTATATTTGTAAACCAAACCTACATACATCCATTACATAATCGAAGCCGTACACGGCAAGGCCGTAGGAAGGAAAATACTAATGAACCACCTTGGTTTCGCTCGTAATGGAATATTAAATAGAATATATCATTAAAGGCAGTTTCGTAGGTTACATTTCCTAGGGGGGAAAACCCCGGAGCTGTAACGCGGCTGTACAAACTACTCGAAGTACATTTTACCCTGTCTCTGAACAGTAGAGATTGTGGTCCTATCCCACCTTGCAACTTTCGGGGGCATACGCAAATTTTCACCTCGGATATCAAAAAAAGGGGGACGGAGCCAAAACAAAACAATTTTATTTAATTTTTAATCCTGTTTTACCAGCAATGCAATCAAAAGGAGCTGAAGTTGAGAAGAAATGAAAGGCTTAAAGGGGCCGGTGCTACATCTAGAACGCGGAAATGAACACTTGAAAAAGACACTAATAATATTGCGCCCCAAAAAGGAAGAAGATAGCAAACAAGAAGCGAATGGAGAAAGAAAGCCATGGACATAGAGGTTTGGACTAAGCTGAAGCATTTACCCATGAAGGGGTTCCGATCAACAGTACAGTAGAATAACAAGAAATTATAAAACATACATTGGAAATTAAACCGGCTATTATTATTATTATTAGTAACCCATAAAAGAAACTGTTCACTTGGCTTAGCCCCAAGAGCAACTGTACCCGGATCATGAATCGATCGTGAGCAGAACAGTTACCAAACATAATAAATATATTATTAACAAACGATATGTTGTTGATAGAGCCTCACACGGGTCAGTGAACAGACAAACCGGAAGCGCCAAGTTTTATCGTAATCACGATATAATTTGGACAAATAGAAGATAACAAGTGTATGAGACTTAGGCACATTATTTTTTGGAGTCTTAATTTTGCGGAATACGGAAGAAATCCAAAAGACCTAATTTGGGGGATTCAGTCTAAGCTTGCGTCGCAGCGGTGAAGGGGAAAACGCCGATTTTGAGGTTATTTTTCTGTGTGATTTGCGATTATAACTTTTGACACAGACAGGCTGTGTTCGTTTAAGTTTTAATCATCAGCTGCCATCAAAATCTATGAATAAACGTATCCATGATACGCCCACTTTTTTAAAAGGAACCTCACTGTTGGCCTTTTATCAGACTTGTTGCGACATCTGCATCTTGCCATCCCAGTCAGTGGGTAGACTAGTAAAGGATCCTCCCTCTATGTCGGAAGAGGAACAGCACCATCCATCCTTCACATGACGCTACAATCATGATGACGTCATACCTTAAAACACGCTATCTAAGTATCTCCCTGAGCATATATAACACTAGACATGCAACGAATAGTATATTCGGTATTATACCGAATATTCGGCGAGGCCCCTGACCGAATAGCCGAATATTAGGCAAAAGTATTCGGCTGGATTTTAGCGCCAAAAACTTGTACAGTCGTGATTGTTTCCATTGAAAAATATGCACTTTCAACAGAAATGGATCTTTTCTTAAATATAACCCGTACACAAGGTGACGAGCAAGGAAATTTAATAACCTTACCCTTCTAAATTTTGATTGCCACAATAATTCAAATACATAGAATCCTCCACTTTTCCGATTTAGAATATGATTATGTACCTAACTATGTTATGTACCAATGACTACTTAAATGATTAAAACAAAAACGAAAATATGATTATATACGTAATCAATCGATTTTAATTTTTCATTTTACCAATTATTTCTCTATGACAAAATATATTATTTAAGTATTCGGTATTTGGCCGAATAATATGTAGATATTCGGTATTCGGCCGTATATTATAAAAGCAGCCGAATAGGCTGAATACCGAATAGTAACCGAATATTCGTTGCAAGTCTAATAACTAAATTTCGCGCCAACCATATATTGCAGTTCTTCTGCAGTCTTGAATAACCCTCATACAAGTTTGGTGCCGTTAGAGATATCTCTACAGGCCTTGGAAAGTTATCAATCTAATCTTCGAAACATTTATTTATTACCAGTATTTTTGGTATTCATTTAGTAAGTAAACTTATTTATCCTACTAATATTATAAACGCGAATGTTTATAAGCATGGATGGATGTTAGTTACTCTTTCACGTAAAACCTACTGAATGGATTTTAATGAAACTTTACAATAACATAACTTATACATCAGAATATCACATTGGCTACAATTTATAAAGATATTGTGTGAATTGTCCAAATTATCAAGTAGGAAAATCTACCATCTGCGAGCTATTCTGGCGTGCGCTGCCAAAACGGCCGAGTTACACATATGTAATGTATGATGGAAATCTTAAATAGTCAATTTCTTTAGTAGTTTTTTTCTAAGCCACGCTAATATAAACTAATCCTGCGCAGACGATGTCGCGGGCACCAGATAGTTTAGAATAAATATAGTATCAGGTATATTTATTTAAGAATTGGGACGCTCCCAATTAATCCCTTAATAAAAAAATATGTACTATATGCAAAACTAATGCGTTGCCGACCTTTTAAGAATTGGTTTGCTCCCACTGAAATCCTCTAGTTTATATATTTTTTTCATTTACTATACGTAAAAATTTAACGTTGAAATATAACGGCAAATAACGGCGATAAATCGTTATCGTTATCATAACTTTCTTATCACGACACTTAATTTACACTTTTTCATACGAGGTATTTGGGAGTAACTTGACATTTTCCCTAATCAATATTGCTTTTCTAGATCACCTACTTGCCTATTAAGAAACAGATATATAGGACTCAGACCTTAACGGTTGCAGCGAGAACATCGTAACACTTTGATACATACGAAGGAAGACACGAGGAATCCTTAGACTGCAATACAATGATTAAAGTTTATCAAAAAAAACTTGTTAGACGAAATGTATCAACAGTGGCGTAACAATGTGGCAGGGCTGGCAAAATGACACGGGCCCCCGACTCAAGAGGGCCCCTGCCCAAGAGATTTATGTTCTAAGGATGAATGTGAAGTCTCCAATACGCATTGGGCTAACGTGGGGACCATTCCATCTCGCCTAAGGCCATTAGTGACAAATAGTAAACTTTACAGGGCAGCCATTTCAAAATAATATAATCATGTTAGTTTTTGTCATAACTATGTTAATTCATATTCTGTTATTATGGAAATTGGCATACAAGCAAACAAAAGGGTTTGTTTTTAAACAAAATAAAAATAATAACATTAAATAACACAGTTTTCTAGAAAAAACACATGCTTCTGTAAGCGTCTATCAAATCCGTCACTACCGACTGATTAATTTGAAATTTAAAACACATGGATTTTTTTTAAAGTAGCCGTAATATTTAGTCAATGTAGTATCCAAATACGATAAAAAGCGGATTTTGGATTTTTTTCAAATCCGACATTATTCTACGATCATGACTATATACAACGTGTAATT